TCAAAAATCTTCATTTTATTGACTGAATCACCTGCATAATATATTCGTCGAATCCTTTGTAGTGGTGAATGAGCTGTATGACACGGTCTGTAGCAAGAACGTCCATATGTTGGTTCAAAATTTCACTATAGACAGCGGTCCGTTTAAGTGTTGGCACCCAGAAATGTGGGAATCTTCGTACGGTCGGTTTACTTTTGTAGTATCCCTTAACAATAGCCTCTCCACCCAACAGGCACTTATCAAATTCGTGTGGATATCTCAGTGGGATCGGTACATTTTGAACGGGTTTCACTTCGCCAGTCGCATCGTTGCGCACATACTTTCCGGCCTTTGGAATATAGTGAACGGGTGTCGGCACTTCTTGCCACTCATAGTAGAATTTTTGATAGGCTTTCGGTAGCTTGGATGCGAGACCCGTATCGAAAATACTCGGCGGAATGAATTTGTATGGATTTCCAACATTCTTCGGAAGAAAAACAAAAACAAAGTCAAATCCGAAATAAAATTGAGGTTATGTTTGTACCCGGAATTATTTAACTCACCAAAACTCGTTTAGCCATTGTAATTGATTGACTTCCAATGAATCCGTTCTTGTAAATGCCCTTCTGCTACAGTTCACCCAGTTTTGGAAAATCAATCGCTATTCTCATTTAATTTCCAATCAAAAATTGGAGAACACTACTTGATACCTTTCAAGAGAACACGATTGACTTGAACCAAAATAAATGTGACGTTTCTCGTGACAGATACCACACAGTGATTGCAACGCTACACACAGCCAAATGAGCGAACTAGTTTGATTTGTCGACCAAATTCAAACATTTGATTCCCACAATGTGAGACTCACATCGAACAAATTGTTTATCTCACATCGAACCATTTTTTTCGTCTCAAATTCAACGTTTTTTTTTTCATTCAACGATTATTTCAAGTGTTGATTTATTTCGTAAACATTCGACGAAGTTTCGACATAATTATAGAAAAAGATTCGAAAAATATGGCATTGCGTACAATATTTCCAGTACAAATATAGACTAAATGAATGCTCTTCATGTCCGGGTATCAAATAAACACTATCAATTGTTTGGCATTATACTATAAATACCGCAACGAATAAATAAGAAAAAGATTGTTTGGTGTTTAGTAGGTCAAATTCGTCGAAATCAATTATACGTCGGGCCGATAGACTTTTAATCAAATATTATTCAATGTGTGATTAGCCAAAGCGTTACAAGCATTTAATTGGAATCATTTGCCGAGATAAAGGGCGAAAATTGAAACAAAAAACGTTTAAACTAATCTCGAATGTCTACCACCATGAAACCTATTATTTTGTAAGAGAGAAGAAATATAGTCAATTGCATTCAATTGGTCTTGTTTTTGTTCCATTCACATGAGCAAAATCTCTCTCTCTCTCTCTCTCTATCTTTTTCCTTCGCTCTGCTAGAAAGGAGAAGAAGATGAAGAGCACAACATTTTCTCAATTAGTAATTAGTTTGGTAACGAAGATCACAACAGCGGTAGATCGAAGACAATTATTTGTTTGTTGTGTGCTGTGGCAAAACGAGCCATACAAATTCCCATATAACTGTAAGTGAATAGCTTAAGAGGAATTTCAACACCCAGCACCAAAAATTACTAGATGTTTTCCGCCATAATTTCGTTGTTGATAATAATAGCTCTTTGCTTAATTGCGGGTATCATATGTGTAATGAAGAAAAAAAAATTAAATAAAAAATTTGCTACATAATCGCAACGTGTAATAAACATTTGTCGCGTCAAATGGAATGAAACAGAAAGAAGCGTGTACCTTTTTATTTGGATGATTTTTGATTTATGAGCACCATGTTTTTGGTCTATATTTGGAATCATCGAAAAACATTAGGAAAACAAAAGTTTGCCGAATGTAAAACAAAAAAAAACCACCTCGGAAAACAATGGGTCGTAGTAGAAAAGTCGTGTAAGCGTAATAACCGCAACGGTGTGTAGCACAATTTGTCGGTTCAAATCGTTTACTCTATCTCATCGTGTGCAGACACATATGATAAACGATCCGAGAGAGAGAGAGAGAGAGAGAGAGAGAGCGCGTTATGGTGTGTAATGGTGCAACACATGTCGACTTCATTAAGCCGTAGACGTGGTGAGTGTTTAAAATAAATTGTGTATGAGTTCTGTGAACCGGATAATGTTTTATTGCATCGTGAACAATGCGGTTGATAAAAAAAAAGGAGTACACCCAATTGTATTCGGTGTATCAAGTGAATATTGCCATTTTCGGTGCGTCTTTCCGTCACTGGGCGATCAATTCAGTGTCGTAACCAACACACTTGACAAGCGATAAATGACAACACAGCCGAAAGCATAGCACATTCACACCAGCTATATCACCTTAGATAACACAACACCTCGAATAAGGTAAAGTTGATTGTGTTTTTATTCGTAGGCTGTGTTGCTGTTGTTTTTATTATCTACAATTTTTTTATGTTCCGACATTGCCTTATGAAATTGTTCATTTGAGAGAAGAAACAAGAGAATATCACTTTGCAACAAATGTGTTTGCGGTGTAATTTACAGTTGTTTATTTTTTTGTTTTTTTTTTTCTCTCTCAGTTTTCAATCGTGTGCGATTCTTCGTGTGTGCAATTCAATTCTAGAAGCTTGTAGGTGCGTTGCGTATCAATGTGTGCATGTGAGAATCGGTTGTGAACGAACGCTGTATGTGAGCGAGAGAGAATCGTATGTTTTTCCTCTCCAGCTGGCTAAGTGAGCACAATCGGTGCGATTGTATTGGTGTTTCATAATGATGACAGTAGTCGTGCCCACAAACAAAAACACATCGCGCGCGAGAAGATTGAAACACAATAGAGCCGAATCATAACAGCACACACAAACGACGACGACTACGACAACGGCTAACGAAAAATTGAAAACAATTAAAATGAAAACAGTTTTTTTCTCTCTGTTCAGTTTCGCACGCAGTATAGGAATAGATGCGCTACGAAGCAGATCTCGACACTTGGCCGTTCACGTTTCATTTTCATTCGGCCTTTTCAATTTGTCGATAGCGGAACACAGAAATCGTGCAGCGAGCGCCTTAAATCACTCGATAATTTTTTTTAGAATTTTTTCATTCGACGCGAAAGAAAAAAGAACGAACGAAAAATTAAATTCGAAACATTTTAATTTGTCACGCTTGAACTAGTGCTTGATTCTTTTTGCTCGGTGTTTGTTTTAGTTGTTTCTTCAAAAATATTTTACATTTCGACACATGATAAGAGGTTGTAATTTACATTTCGTTATCCCGCCAAGTGGTGCTCCGTTCGTTCCATTTAGAAAGTGATAAATGGTGGGAATCGCCGTTGTGTAAGAAAATTTAATGCTTGAAATTATGTAGCTGGCATAAATAATTGCCGTTAAGTGCTAATAAATAAGTTTCGGTGTTCTAGTGTTCTAAACCAATTGATTTAAGAGAAAAAGAAAAAGAAAACATAACGAACGAAACAATTTTAAAGTTTGATGGTGCGATACACTTTCCGCTGGAAACGTGTCCAATTTTAAGTAACAAAACAGAAAAAAAAAGTATTTGTGTGGTTTCACCAAAGAAGATGTTATAGTCGATTAGAATTTCTCTTTGAACCAAAAAATGGATTACGCACACGAAAAAGTAAGCAATTATTTTTTTTTAAATATAAGCTCACCATGGGTAAATTTGCTTCAAAAATTATATATACGATCGATTTGAAAATTTCTCTTAACCTAAACATCCAAAATTGGTAGACTATTTGTGAAATTACGTCGATACACCTTTCGACAGACGCGCAACCCCAGGAAATAGCGATTGCATACCTTTGCAAAACAGTTGCAGCGTGGAATGATTCAGTGTTTATTTACTGTGTGTGTGTTCTTCTTCTTTCGTTTCATTTAAATATCAAGTCTGGTGAAATTGTCGGTTTCGTTTGGTATCGAATTAAAAGCGTCGCATTTGTTTTCTCTTCGCACACAAACGGCACGCATTTTTTATTTTATTATATCAAAATGATTACTTTTAATTTCCATTGTTGGTTAAGTGCGTACTCGACTCGGTGGTCGCGCACGCAGTTTCATTTTAATTTTTGCCGTATTTTTTGTTTCATTCGCCATTGGAATACAGTTAGATGAGTCAGCCAACGGACTAGATGCCATGTGACTTATGCGCGCGGCAAATATAGTGCCACCAAATAGAAATCTCCATACATAGACAAAGCAAAAAAAAAATATAAATAAATCTGCGAAAAATAATATTTATATAAAAAAAGAAATAGAGCTGGAGCTGAGCATTTGATTTGCCACAATGAGCGAGCAAATCGGTGCTTGTTCGGTTGGAATTTTTTTCCTTTCCTTTCTTGTGCGCGCGCATTTTGCTCTGCCATCCACGACACAAAAGCAACAAAGCAACGAATTCCAGCGTTTAGAATTAAGACAACATCATCATTCACAATCACGGCCGTTGTTTCAGATCAGTATTGTTTGTGTGTGTTTTTTTCCCATTTTTTTACACGTAGTTTGTTTTCTATATATTCTTTTATGAATCGACACCTCTCGCTTTGGTTTTAATCAAATTCTCTCTCTCTCTCTCTCTCTCTCTCTCTCTCTCTCTCTCTCTCTCT